CTTGAATAATCAGTTATTGTTAAAGAAGAGATTATAACTACTTAGAATTAGGGTATTATTTTTAATGTTTTGTTTTGGTGAAAGAAGATCATGCACTTTGTATTTTATGCACAAATAAAGAATATACATCACAGACGATCATATGAAAGGCACGTATGAGGTACAAAAATATAGCTTGCCCCTAAGCTGGAGCAGATAACCATCTGTTCAAAGAAACAACGAAAGACCTTGCACAGAATACACCATTGATGTTGCATGTGTCAGTTTGGAGTTAATGAATATCCACAGGCAGAGGCTTCTGTATTGAAAAATGATCAGTTTATTCTGTTTATTTTCCTCTGGGGTAGGGATTATATCATGCACAACCCACCTAATTTTACAAAAGGTACAGTAACAGAGTCTGAGAGCACTTTAACTTTAACTCTGGCCTTCAATAACAAGATAATGCATTGCAAACAGTAATGAATATTTAACAATGCACTGTTAATAAGACTGTGGTTTTGTTCTAGTCCTGGAATGCACATATTGATGCTATCCTCTGATGAAAGCATACTGTATGTGGTATGACCAGACAGCATCAGATTCTTCAGTATTCCCTCTAGGACCTAGCTATTTGTGTCTTGCTTTTGTCTGTCCTGTTTTTTTCCTGAAGGCATTCTCCATTTGGGATGGTAACCATAGCTAAGGCATGAAACTAAATAGCCCTGTAAGCTCTAAGGGTCACTGCAGGTAAAATCTTACTCTCAGACTATGAGATCATGGTGAGCATTGTAATAGGTAAGATTGTACTTTTTATTTACCAACATTTCCGCTTAAGAGTTAAACATTTTTCCAAATTAACTGAATGGTCTGAAATTTGGGTTTCCAACAGCTTTTAAATAATTTCCACTGGGAAAAACTGAGATTGGGGAGAGCCTCAGGGAAAACTTAATTGAGAGCATTTGATGGAAGAATGAAGAGAGAGCTCTAAAACCTCCTTTGGAGATACTCTTTCACATACTGTACTTTATTTTCACCCATAGTTTCAAGTCACTGCTTTGCGCTTGTGTGTTTGTTATTCCTTCATGCTTTTAGTGCTTCATAAAGGTGCATTCTTTTTTGTGGTGCACAGCAAAGCCTATTTGTTTCTTTTTCACTCAATTAAAATGTCAAAAGTTATGATAGGAATTCAGATAAAATCAGAACCACAGTAAGTATCTGTCCACAAAGACATGCTGAACCCCCCAGAACTCCTGTTAAACATGCCTAGAAAAACACCAGCTCGGAATCATTTTTCATCACGTTCCAGCATGAGTTGGGTTTGAACCGTGACCCAGGGGTGAAAGGCTTCATACTTCATTGCCAATCCTCTAAGCCTCCTGGCCTTCCAACCCTGTTTTATACAATGCAATTCATGCTCTGTATAATTTTTCCAGGAAACCCCATTGTTTTTCATGGCACATGGCTGATGTATGAAAGTCATATTTGAGATTATAGTGACATTCAGGGATTACATTTATAAATGGAGGGGAAAAGATTTAATCAGTCCCATTAAAATGCTGGCAAGCGGTGGGTCTACAGGAATGTGAGGAAGGCATAATGTGTTTCTTAAAGTGTGAGCTTGTAACAAAAACTAAGCAGTATCAAACTAAAAACACATCCTGAGCTGCAATGGTGAAGTAGATAACAGCAGCACTGGGAAAATAAAATTGATATATTGATACAGGAAACAAGAGCACCAAATAGCAGCATTTTCCTTCCGGAATAAGGAAGGCCATTAGTGATTGAACTAAGTGCACAGTTATGGCATTGATATCAAAGTGAACGGATATAAATGACATTTGATTACAAACATTTTTTTTAAATTGGAAGTAATACTTGTGAAACAAGATCATATTCTGGCATAATGTAAAAGAGGTTTTTAACCTTTTTTATTAGTGGGAATTTCCAGTATCACTGAAGCCCATTCACCACAATTAATGCAAATGAATTCTTGCAATTTGGTGAATGAGTGATATTTTTAATGGTTACTTTGAAGATACAGCATAAAGTAATTGTGGAATGCAATTATATGGAATCAGTTATAACAGTGGGATAGTCTGAAACTTTAACACAATAAGCCAGAATATAACTTAATTAAATGACGAGAGATTCCGTGCAGTATTTTACCTGTGTTTTACCTGTGTCACATCTGTGAAGCATATGAAACGCAATTAAATGTAAAAAAAAATAGAAAAACAATCCACCCAGTACATTACAAAAGTTTAATTAATAGATATTTTCGATATCGTTATATCTATCAGTGCGCTTTGCTGTTTCTGAGTGGACAGGGTTTTTGATTACATTTTATTTCACATTTGTAACACATACAGTACTTTTACAACAAAGAGCTCTCAGAGAGCTAGACCACTAATGAAGGAATGAAGGCAATTATTGATTAAATCTGATTATGCAGCGCCACCTCATGGCAGAATAGAATCTCCATAACCAGAACCACAATACATACCCAGCTACAGCAAAATGGTGATCCAATATTTTCTAATGTGCTAAAAGGTTGTGGTTTGATTATGTTAGACAGTACGTGTAAGCACGTTTTTTACAGTGTTAATCGGAGGGAGCTGTTTGATTATGCCAGACATTCAAACATACAGCTGCAGCTACTGTATGTTCCAGATACTTAGGATATTTACATAATGTTAATGGTTTTAGAAGTTGTTACTAGGAGCTGTTTAACACCCATTATTATGCTGTCAGAAAATCCCAAGCTTACAAATGAACATTACAACAGTTAAGTGTAAATGTTATACAGTATTTGAATTCCACAAACATTGTAATGGATTTTTCATTGTGATTTCACTGTAAATAGAAATTTGCATAATGTTACTTTAGTACTTCTTTAGTACTCCCATCTGTTTTATAATGGTGCCATAGTGTGGGTTTGTTAGTTTTGTATAATATAATATAATGTTTACTTACACATATGATCTCCTCAAAAGCATTTGTTTCTCCTCTTTTTTTCAAGAAAGTTTTAGATTCTGGTTCTGTGAATATTGTAATTTATTGTAGACTTTTTCAAGCTTTCCTTTCAGTTTCAGTTTGTATAATGCTTCAAAATGTAAGATTCTGGATAGTTTTAACTAAACATATTTTATGTCTTCATACAAAGTAATGTTAAGAAAGAGTGTGGGGCCTGTTTCCATCCCCTAGAACTTAATTATTAATTCTGTCCCACAGAGAGAATCTTTCATTGATTAATTTACTTGTGATACTCTATGGACCATGAAATATAATTAGTCATATACTGCTCTTAGTGAACAGCATGCTGGAACTGTTATTTTGACCATATGAGATCCAAATCACTCCAACACTTACCTGCTGTAATTAATTAGAAGGTGCAAAAATGTGCTTGCAGAATATCTCACACTAATTTATAAAATAATTAATATACTGAAAACATGAATAACTGAACTGTTGGGTCTTCAAGGTCTTTACATATTCTTCAATTTTTAGTGTGATTAATTATATGAAATCATACATCTTCCTTTGTTACAATAATAATTAATCATAAATAATAATAATTGCTAACATAGCACTTTTCTGGACACTCCACTCAAAGCGCTTTACAAGTAATGGGGACTCCCCTCCACCACCACCAATGTGCAGCATCCACCTGGATGATGCGACAGCAGCCATAGCGTACCAGAACGCTCACCACACATCAGCTATCAGTGGGGAGGAGAGCAGAGTAATGAAGCAAATTCATAGATGAGGATTATTAGGAGGCCATGATTAGTAAGGGCAAATGGGAAATTTGGCCAGGATGCAAGGGTTACACCCCTAAGCCCTGGGATTTTTAATGACCACAGAGAGTCAGGACCTCGGTTTAACGTCTCATCCGAGGGTCGGTGCCTGTTTACAGTATAGTGTCCCCATCACTATACTGGGGCATAAGGACCCACATGGGCCGCAGGGTGAGCGCCCCCTGCTGGCCCCACTCACACCTCTTCCAGCAGCAACCTTAGTTTTTCCCAGGAGGTCTGTCATCCAGGTACTGACCAGGCTCTCATCTGCTTAGCTTTAAAGCCAGTTGTGGGTTGCAGGGTGATATGGCTGCTGGCTGTGATGATTCATAAATTACTGTTGTTCCAACAAGGTGTAATTTAAATGATTTTGGATTTATTCAGTATATTATGTTGATGTAATAAATTAATAATAAAAATAATATAAACTATTTACATGCAACCTGTTTCTTGTTCTATGCTGTATGTTCTATGTGATTTGGTAAGGTGTAATAGTGAAGCCTGTGGCCAGCCCGAGAGAATCCAAAAGTACTGTAGGTTTTTCAGAGCAGACACATTCTATCAACCTCAACTTGGCCGAGCTCAAATAAAAGGTCATATTTCATTTTGCATGGATGAACAGATAACACAAATGGAAAAATCTCTCTATATATATTCCTAGTGATAGAAGTACATATTACTACACAAAGGCAGACTCAATTCCAATAACATTTAAGCCCATTCAGTGAAAGCAGTTGTTCCACCTAGCCATCTAATTTGTACTGTAGTTCTGACGTGCTTTATTTTGTACAGTAGTTCAGTAGTGCTAGCATCTTTTATGCCTTTTTTTATTTTTAGGCAAAGTTGTCCTGTGTATTTCAACTTTAACCATGCAATTACTGTATCTCACCAACTACATCTACTAAAGGTTAAAAGCATTTTAAAACTCATAAGAAATTAGTTTAACCGAAAACATGAAGTTTGAGAATAACAATAACATTAATAATAAAAAATAACTAAGAAATTGACAAAAATTCAGCTAATTTTCTATTAGACATTTTATTTAAATAAACTGTTTGAGATTCTTGCCATTATTGCTTAAATGTGGTTGCTAACTGTTGTTGGTGTTAAGACTGTATTTAAATCCCAAACAAAAGTTATATGGATTTTTATTAAAAAGCAAATTGATATTTTCATTACAGAAGTAAAACATATAAAATCAGAATTTTATTCGATTAATATTGAAAATATCAAATAAACATGCAATGTACATCTTTATTTACAACACTTAAAACAAAAATACTCAGCTTCACTTTTAATAATATGATTAAACATAAAATGCAATTGATCAAACACGACACTATTTTCTTGAGTACCACAGAAGCAATCCTGTTGACAGTGTATATATATATAATTTTATTAACTTAACTAATAAAAACAATATGTTCTCTGCCATCCAGAATTTTGAAGAAACAAAGCCAAAATTTTCTGCAAACATACAGTACACTGAATACAGAAAACAGGCCAATTTAAATCACTTCTTGTATTGTGATAGCCCCTATGACAGCACAATACTCCATTTAGGATAGGCCATTAGTGATTTTAGCATTTTTAATTTGCAATTGTGCTTTTCTAAGTTATAAGGTGCACGTCTATGAAGAAACAATGTATTGCTTAAGTACAGTATGCAGAAAAAAGTGTGTAAGTCCACTTTAAACTCACCTCAGATAGAGGCATTATCAAATCAAGGTCCTATTTTGAAGAAGGTGAAACTTTATTGTATACAAAGACAATCATTTGTGTAATTAATAGGCTTGTTTGACAGAAGCTCAGGAGAAGGTCAAATTCTAATCTCAAACTCTATTACTTACACTGTAAATGTTTGCTGGCTGCCCACAGCTTTGCACAAATATTTCTATACCCTCTCCTTCCATCCCAACTTCACCCTTGCAATCGCTTGTCTGGTTCATTCCTTGTAAGTGAGGGGGGGTTGTAACAGCACCGACCATCAGCAAGCACTGTCATTTCCTCAGCCCTAATACTTAACACCAAAATATTAAGTACACTATCCCTTATACGCTAATCCTTTATACCGTATGTGTTAAGTCATTTGGCATTATTAGAGTCTCAGAACCAAATATCATCATCATTTATGATTAGTTTGAATGTTTATTCCCTAAATTGTGTAGCAGTCAATGAATCAGTTCAAACTGATGAATGCATCTTACAGCATGGAAGTAGGTGGACCAAATCCATTTTGCAAAACTCAGCATATACTAAACGAATTGGGCAGTGAGAGGCTACGAGTACCTTCACACTATCTGTGGGACTGGCTGTATTGTGTAAGAGAAATATTCATCTCACTACCATTTGACTTTGGAATACCAGAATCAACATGTGTAATCAACTAGTTGACCTTTCAACACATACTGTATAGGGAAGACGAAGTTTCTTTTTAATGCACTGGTGAGCCAATGCAATGTACAGTATTTTCTTTGAGCTTTATTTTCAGATATTTATTCAGTGTGAATAAGAGATGTCAAGCACTGTAGCTGCTCAGTGAGGTTTGCGAGCATGAAGTGTTCCTAACAGTATTCATGTATTTTAGCTTACACTTAGAATTCCCCTTACGTTTTCAATATAAAACGTGTTAATGTTCTATCATACAGTAGGTGAATATAGATGTGAAATTGCAGAATATTGGTAAAATATAAAGAATACAACAGAGTAACAGGACAAGACAAAAGGAAGCCTAAGACAGAGCTGAATCATGCATAATTAGTAGGAAGTCAAAAGCACCAGCTGTCTATTTTAATCCTCATTAAGGAAATCTGAATCTAAATTAATATAAAAATAGTGCATACCACATATAAATTGGAAAGACGACCAAGGAATAAGAATTATTATATAAATGTGAGTACAAAAGCCTCATCAAGACACAGCCATGGTCAGTCACAGTACCCCTGGCCTTTCAAGAAAGTACAGTAGGTGTGCCAAGAAAAATGGAAAATAAGCTTACGAAGATAATTCAATGGTAAACAAACATGTCTTAAAACTAATGGAGCGAAGTAGTTAGTTTTAAAATTAAGTTCAAAACATTTAAAGATAGTTATGTGCAAGTTGATTCTGCGAATTGATGTCTACATTCAAAATATTTCATTAAAGTTATCGATTATATAATACAGTATGGCAGTTGTTGACAGTATAGTACATTCAGTTGTGATGTAGGTCTCTGAACATAGATCCAGCTCCACATTGTGAGCTCAGACTTTAATGTAGCTAAGAATTATATAAAACCAGCCCAGACTGTACAGAACAAGAAAACAAGACAAAAGGTAGAAGTTACTTTTTTAGCTCATACTATTACAATGCAGCCGGCTGAAGCAAAGCAGCTCTTGATGAAAATGGTGGTCCTAATGTAGAAGCTATTTTACATGACATGCATGAGGTTCATATCATTACATAATCCATTACCTCAGCATCATGCTGGAAATCTTTGAGTTGCATCCAATGTCCGGGTGAAAAACAGGTTGTTTATTTTTTGTTCACGTACTTCCTTTCTATGCATAACTGCAATACAATCTGTCTTAATTCAAACCAGTTCTTAAAAATAAAGGTAGTATGTCCAATACAGCAGATTAACAATGATAAATGAAAGGGGGAAAGACATTCGTGAATAGTTGTCTATATAGTGGGGGTTTTCAATTTTGCAGCACTTAAGGAAGCAAACCATCCTTCTTATGATGTGTAGTGATTTTGTGCAGTTGCTCTGCTGCTCCTGTGACTCAGTCTTTATGTCATTGCTGGAAGGACCGCAGGGGCTGATAGCAGACACATCCTCTTGCTTTTTAGTTCGGCTTGAGTCGCTTGCGATTGTTGTGACTATCCCATTCATTTCATCCTCCCTCCGCTGCATTTCCTGTCCGTACTGGAGTCAAAGAGTTAAACAAGCAGACAGTAAGTCTACTTACTGTTTAGAGCCAGTGTAAAGACGGTGTAAAAGTTTAGAACACCATGCTGCATAAATCAGGCATTTCACAAATAAGGAAATAAGGAATTTTAAGAAAGTTGTTCTTCATCCCTAATAAGCATTGTGCACAAATATACATCTCACCATTAACATGTTGGAAGCATTAGGGTGGTGAAGTGTGCAGAAGTGAGCCACAGCATACTCTATTAAAGCTCCAAAGATGAAGCTGAAACAGATTCCCAAGTAAACATCAATAGCTTTGATGAAGCAGTTGGCATTTGGCAGAGAAGTCCTGGCTCCCATCATCAGAGTGGTCATAGTAAGGACTGTAGTTACTCCTAAAATCAACAAAATTAAAAAAGAAGACACAGCATGTTATACTGTACATGTGTCTTATTGATTTGTGATAATTCTGATTGTATTAAGGAGTTTCAACAAATAAGACAATAACATTACACTTTTTAAAAAAATAATTGTGTCAGTAGAATGGAATAGGTAAGGATGAATAGGTAACAGTGGTGCCAGCTTAGTTACGATCACATAGGAGCCTGGCCATAGTGATTCCAAGCATCAGCTTAAATATAGCTGGCCTTGTGCAAATGTGTGAAGATGCTGAGAGACTGGAGCAGTTGCCAAATGTCAAAAACAGCCTAGGCTGTTGTTACTGCACCACATCTTACTGTATGAAAAGGCCAGACAGCAGAGTGTTTGCAGGATTATAGGTCAGAGATGACCTATCAGTCATCTCAAAGCCTTGACCCAGAACCCAGTGATTTCCATCATCCTGATCCCTTAGAGATGCGCTTTTCCAGCAGGCCTGCTACTGGTCTATTGTTAACAGTAGCTCTTATTTAAAGTTACAACTTTTCAAACAAGACTTACAGTTCTGGGTGGTGACACTCTGTCATGGGAGAGATAATTCATCATGCAGAGGACATTTGAGGCTTTCATAGATACAGCTACAGACAACCTAAGTATTTATTGATAACCTACAAACTTGTCAACCTCGGCAAGGCTCAGCCTACTGGGAGACTCTACATGTGCCATCCTGATTACAATCATCTAATGACATGGTCCAGACAAGAATCACTGATTTCTGGACTTACAGGCACTACTAGTAAACTGAATGGCTCCAGGTTACACTGCTAGTGCAAGACAAATCAGCGCCTTAGTCCTGACAGCAGGGACAGTCGATAGGTCTTGAATTATCCCTGCATAAATGTTTCAGCTAGTTCAGATCCCAAGACTACTCCACTACTCCAAGCAAATGAGATTCAGTTCAGATGAACTCTTATCTCAAACCCAAAATGTCCAAGGTCAATTAAAATATGTAACACTGACTTGTATTTTGTCAGTGTTAACTGAAGTTCCAGAACATATAAAGAGAAACACAAACTGTAGATTGTGCTTTGTCATGTGTTGTTTACCCATCTTGATAATTCAATGCCAACAATGTAAGTAATTTCTTCCCAGTACCTACCTATACAGATTCGAGCTGGGACTGAGGACTGACTGATCCAGAATGAGACCCAGGAAAGAACTACAAGGAGGCTGGAGGGAACGTACGTCTCCAAAATGAAATATAAAATACTCCTTTTCAATTCAAAGTGAAATATTAATTTGGGGTAATGGCCTGCAAGTAAAAGAAATTAACACTGTCAGAACTATTGTATGTTACATACACAACCAAAACAAAACACAGGAAAAATAAATGTATTATTCCTGGGTGGCATACATATCAACCAAAAACCAAACAGGAGAAGTGTAAACTAAGTTGTCATAAATTATATAACTGAGCATAGATACCCCATTCATTAATAATATTAAATCAATTAAATAATCAATTTAAGCTTATGATGGTTTGGTACGGTATATTAATTACATTGTACAGATGTATGATTAAAGAACTGTAACCTTACGTCTTTATATAAAGCACAGGAGCACACATCTAATTCTCAAGGTGCACAATTCATATTATAATATACTGTATCATATTAAACAAATCTGATATTTTAGAAGTTTTAAATTTGTCCAATTTTACATTTGGCTGAATGTTGTAATGTAATATTAACTTAATACAAAACAGTATAGACTTTCTGTGGACTTTATTCATGTTCAAATGCACTATTGGTATTCGTAAAGAAAAAGCATTCATAGGCCACTCTTAAAATGGATATTTAAAACTAACCATTATACTGTCTCCCCCTCCCCCCCAACATTCTCAACATGGAAGTTACACAACTAGTTGGGCTTGTTGGTATAACCAGTGATGACTAAACTAACAACTATTACCCGTTAATGGGGTTTCAGGAGTGAACTGATTTAAAAACAGCTGTCTGTAAGTTTTAGTATTGCTACTGTATGTGTAATGCATTGCACTCTGGAGAGATGCCGACATCACATCCCTTTGTGAGTTGCCCAAGATAACAGAAACTGCTGCAGTGTGTGATGATGTGTGGCATCACCTGCTGTATTTGCAGCCTCTCTCAGCACCTTCAAATTGAAAACTGCAGTACAGTCAAAACTGGCAGTACAATTCAACATGGTATTTGGACAGGATTTGCTTTCTAGTCCTCATGAAGGGTTACATGACCACAGCTGCTTCATAGTATACCAGATATTTTACAAATATATTTTTAAATTTAATAAATGAGGCTTAAATTAATTAAAATGAGGCTGGGAGGAGCAAAAATGACCATTCTTTGTTTGTAAAGGGTTTACCATTGTATTTTCTAATATTTACTACAGCAAGTAATAATTGCTTATTTAATGCTATAATTGTACACAATACTGTAATTGTTGCAATGTACAAATTAATAAAAAATATAAGGAGCTAAGACTGTAAGTGCTAGCAAAGGGTTTCAGGGTCACACAAGGAAATTAAGAGGTTAGGCATTTCAGATTGAAAACTGGATGTACTTCTTTTAAGGAGTCTGGATTGTTGAATATCTCACTCTGGGATTCTTCAAAAAAGCAGTAGAACAAGATTTCAATCAATTGGCTTCTATCTGTCAAACACACAAGATAGCCAGACTGGCCAGCTCTTGATTTAAATCCTTTTTGTTTCTGATTTATCAGGATTAGCAAAAATGTACATCCTGTTGCAGAACTGTATTGCCAGTAGAGGTGTGTTTATACTATAAGTGTTAGAAAGGCTGCCATTGTAACATGAAGAACACCTAAAATATTCATCAAAGGAGGAGGTTCTTAAGCAAGACTGACATGGTAAGGCTGGAGATAGTGCTGTATAAAGCACAAAGTATTTAAAGTTTGTAATTGTCAGCATTTTTCTTTAATGCAATGCTGTTTTACAGCTTGAAGGACAAAAAAAACCTGAATTTTCATCTATGAACTCCTTAGATCATAGTTTTTTTTAACTCAAATTTCTTGTTTTCTGAATCTCTTCATATATACCCGAGAGTTCAAACTTCATCTTTTTTATATGTGGTCTTAAACAATTTGCACTCATGGACACATACCTGTCTCATAAATGGCTTCTGACACAGAAGTATAGTAATCTTCCACTGTGTACTGGGCTAAGCGCAGTGTGTCTAAACCACTTACAGAATCATTTCCTCTTGTCCAGTAAAACATCACATCATTAATGTTATAACCCCCTGGAAAAAAAGATATTTTAGCAAAAATCTGCAGTGAATTCAGATACATCCATTAGGGGGAGCTGCAGATCCATGATAAATGTAAGTAGGAGATTCATGCTGACATGCTGTGTACAGACTAATACATGCATGTGTTTATATAGAAACAGCTCAATGTTTTAAAAAAAATAATAGGGAAAGCAGATTTGATATGTAGTGGCAGTAAAAAAGCAATAGAATTAAATTTAAATGGCTTGTGCCTTATTGTTTCAAGGCTGGTGTATACAATTTGATTTAGAGATAAAAGAAGCTATTTCCTAGACCTGAGGTAACTAACACTATTATTTATAAAATGGTGGACAACAAAGTTTGCTTGTGGCATCCTGAGCTATATAAAAAACAAAATGAAACCTTATTTCTTACAGACTTTAAACAGCCTAAAATAGAAGTTTGACATCAGAGACATTGTGATGAATGTTGCATGATAAAGCATTGTAAATGTTTGCAGAGACTTATTTGGGTTCAGTGTCCTGTAGAAGAGTAGAAAAAATAATGACACAATGATATTTTGGGTATAAATTTAAATGTTTGTTTAGTATCATGGCCATCAATAAACTATTAAACAGGAACAAGTAATCGGTTTATTCCATGCTGAAAAGAGAAGAAAGAAAACACAACGTTTTGGCTTAGAAGCTTCTTCAGCTAGAAGGCTCCACAGCCGAAATGTTGTGTTCTCTTTCTTCTCTTTTCAGCATGGAATAAACCTATTACTTGTTCCTTTGCAGCCTACACATGCTGACGCAGCTCCCCACCTGAACTATTAAACTGGATTGTTGAAAGCTTTAAATATAAGCCATATTAAAAGGCCACATTATTTTCATCTGTACTTATACTTTCTAATCTGCAGCTTAAATTTACATAACACACACAACATGGCAGTGACATCTAATCCCATATTTACAAAAATGATAAGGCTGCATATCGTGTTTCCAACAATATGAACTGTAGGAAAAATATTTCATACAAATTCAGCCATTATAGCATACTGTAGATTTCTTTAAATAAATTAGTTATATATAGTATATATACCTACAGTATATAGTATATGTACTCACTATATGTACAAAATCACAAGAGTTGATGTAAACTCTAATATCTTCAGTATCGTTAATAAAATTAGTTTGATCTTTACAACACCCAAAGAGCTAATATGATTGTCTCCAGTAAGCTGCTATACAGATTTTCTTAAGATCAAACAAACAAGACATTCTATGGCAGTAACACACACCAGTCTCCAACCTTGATCCTGGAGGGCCTCAGTCCAGTTATTCTTATTTAGTAGGTCAGTACACCAAACCCTGTCATTTAAAGATTAGGAACACTTGTTTAAGCAATTGATCAATAAGGCAAGTAAATGAAGGGAACACTTGCCTTTGAGAAGTAAAGTATTTCCAGATTTGTTTTCTAAATGGTCTCTAAATTACGTAATTGAACAAACCCTTTTTCATTGACCATAACTATATTGTTCCAGGTCTTCAGAAACTGATGATTTCAAGGCTAGCTATAACACTTTCTGGATGGGGGCTCTCCGGGACGAGGGTTGGAGACTCCTACTATAGAAAGACGACATAAATGGCTGAGAGATGGCACTGCAAAATTTGACTGATGCCTGTCATGATTTCTGTGGTATCTGATGTGATTAAAGTGACGTAGCTAGAATTCTATTACATCCCACACAGGCTTTATGAGGGAGAGATCTGATGAATCCTTATGACAGTCCTCATTGTCATGATGGTATATGTCTGCAAAATATTTATTTCTATAATAGAGAAACTGTGAAGCATTTGATGTGACACTTACTGTACCCAACACTGTTTTTAATTAAATGGAAATCTGGTTTCAGCAGACAACAGTATGAGTATGGTCTTTAAATGATTAACCCAGCTTTATAGTTGATGGCGACTCTGCTTAAATTGAACAGCATCATATTTCTTGGTACAGTAGGTGTGAGATTAAAATAAAATTCTCTTACAGCTTTCTAGTTGTAGGGTACATGTCTGCTTGTCCATAGGATATTTTGTTAAATCCATGTTGCAAGCCACAGTAGTTGTTATCCTGAAAAGAATATCAGATTTATTTTCAGATAGGTATTTCTTTCTAAGATACTGCAGATATGTCTAATTAAAACTAATTCTCTCCACACTTACAAATATTATTAGCAAATCTTATATAGTTTTGATTTTAAGTGACCAACTTTAAGATTAATTTATATTGTGATTTTCTGTATTGGTAGAAAAAACAACGTTTTTCATTTGCATTGTGTTACAGCACAGGTTATATTAAAAGTGCTGTGCCTTCATCTTTATGTTTCCCAAAGGCAGAACTCTTGAACAATCCCTCCCCTTTCCCTGCTGCCCTTCCTCAGGGTCTGTTCTCTCAGGAGCAGCTTGTTGCTTTGACAGAAGGGAAGCCCCAGGCAAAACATCAGCCCAGTACCTAAATACAGCCACCTTAGATCTTGTTCATTAAACCAAACTGCATCCACTCAGTCACATTATTGTTCTAGGCTTGTGGTCAGAGGCACACCTTGCAGCCTTGTCTCCCCTTCTTTTCTTTAACTGTAGCTTTTGAGTACCAGAAGAAAGTGAGAAGTTGTGTTGCTTCTCATAACTCCTGAAGCACTCATACTTGCATATTCCATCTCAGACTTTGTGGTCTAGCAAGACAGTACCAAGCCATTTCATTCTACAAGATTCACAGTATTGCAGATTTTAGAGTGCTCTGTGTTCCTCAACTATTAAAAAATCATGCAGGTACAAAAAAATAGCCAGTTATTTAAATATTTGTATAATTGTTTAACAAACAGAATAATTTAACCAACTGTGGTTTCGGGGGTCCAAAGCTGGCTCTCATTGTAACAGTAATACTATCCTCATATCCAGACCATTTAAATGAATCTCATTTCTGATCTTAAGTGAAAAAGTACCTTCGAAACTAAAGTTAAGGCACATTAGTAACTGGTAAAAGAAATCTTGAATTTTTATTGTGCTCAACAGTTTGTCTAGTAATAGTTACTGGTAAACATCAAACCACTGGGATTTATTTTTTTCTTAACCAAACTATTTATTGGACTAATCTGTGGTTTAGTAACTGACTAGATCAAAAACCAAAAACAAATGCCTGATCCTGAGAAAAGTGCCCAGATTAAATCAAAACTTCCACCCACCTGCTAATCTCAAATTCCAATCTCAAGATTTACAGTAATTGCACTTTTCCACTGGTTAGAAGCAGGAAGCCCTTGGAAACAGATGACTACCATCATTTACATATGTTTGTGCAACTAGCCATCTCTGAGCTTCTGCATTTTTAGGATAAAACTGAAATTTGATTTATGATATCTGTTACCTCAAAGGTTCGGGAATGTATCTATGTATCAACACATTCTTACCTCAGTGCATACAGAACTGTTCCATTTGGGAAAATCCTTATAAGCCTGTTTTCCACAGTAATATCATGGAGAAAGGATTTCTTTGAATCCACAATAAATGTATCAGGAACCCAAAGCAATTCAACAAGTCGTCCATCTAAACTTAAGCTCTTATTTCCATCAAAGCAAAGACGTTCATCTGTCCAGCGCTGTCTCAAGAATATAGTGGCTGTGTAGTCCTATAACAGAATTATATGATTAATTCAACAGGCAAAATATCTTAATTACAGAGCATGGCCATCTTACTTTAAGTGTGAATGTTATTAATTAATGAGACTATTCTGCCACCTTACCATATTAATTTCTGATATCGTATCAATACTTGCAATGTCCAAGCTCATTCCGACAGTAACAGGCCCATCTAAGAGAAAATAAATTAATGTCAAACCAGCATTGTTCTTATTAACTCTCATAAAAAACAGAAACTTTATGGGAAGCAGAAACTCATTTTGTGCAGGTGTATTTAACATGCTCCATCTTAGCACAGTGGAAAATAGATTCAACAAAGTACTGCATTGAAAATTACTGACAATGCTTATGATATGATATTTCTTGTGGAATTTTGTGTCTCACAAACTGAGACTGTGATAGCAATTGCAAATAAAGAGAATGTAAAGATTTTTTAGCATTCTGTCAGTAATTGAAGATCTAAATTTTTGTTTTTGTTTTTTTGCAAAGATCAATGAAATAAGTCAATGAAACAGTGCAATGTTTATTTAAAATAGTTTACTCCAGGTGCAACTAACTAGCCAATTAACAGACACTGTTAGCTAGACAGATAAAGGATGAAAGATCTGTAGTAAGAGTTAATTCTGGTGATGTTATGCTCAGGAAATGTGTAAAAGCCTTTCTATACCCACACATTATTTCAGGAAAGGCCAATCAAGGGATCATCTTAAATTCTTAGACCAATTAACCAGAACATAAACAACAAAAGAATGAGCAAAGGCTGCCTGGTAGTCATCCTTATTTTTTTGTAATAGTGTAATGTGCAATGTTTTTCTTATTTTTTGTAATAGTAAAATGTACAATGTTTTTCTTCTCTCTTTTTTGCATTCTATTCTATTTAAATGTACAGGAGTGCTGGGTGTCCATAAAAACTTTCCCTCAGGGGACAATAAAATCTTATCTTAGCTTATCCAGGAAACCCACTGAATTATGTGAATGTCAGATTTCCTGATGGGTTCTAATAAATTTGTACGACAGCAAATACAATTGCACTTTTTCAGTGATGAGTGATAAAACAGCAAAAAAATGCCATTAAACATAAAAGAATCACTTCTAAATTCTAAAAACGAAAACATCCATTAATAGGACTCCAAGATGAATGTAACGATGCCCCATGCTTTAAAGGTGATACCTCTTAAATAGCTTGTCTTGATATATTGAACTGTCATATGGATAAAGAGTCTGCTAGATTTAATCACATTTTGATTTATTCAGGTTAATTTATTGTAGATTCTTCCTATCATTAATGTTTTTGTATGATTATAAATGTAGCCATACTCTTTTTTACAAATAACAAATGAAAGAACTACTGTATATGGCTGCTGTTAGCAATCTCAGATTTTATAATGCACTATTTGATTAAAATACTTTCAGACATGTAGTAAATTGCTGAAAATGTGTGATTTTATAACTTAAAAATTAACGACAAAAACATAATGATGGTCAAAATATAAAAAGTATATTAACATTTTCAGCAATAACAAGTAAACGTTTCCACACAATATAATGTAGTACACTTGTTGAAAATATATTGAAATATGTTCAGTGGATTAGTTTCATAAATAAATTAAATAGTTTCCTTACTGTCAAAAAAGGGCCGAAGATATTTGTTGTATCCTTTCATTAGTTTTTGTATTGTTGGTGGCAGAATTTCTTCTCCTTTCACTTCGGAACACAGAAACATATTTTCCACTATTCTGTGGACGTGAAATAAACATAAATACTCAGCATGTGTCCTATAGACCTGCTGTTTATTCTAATCTATATAATTAATACATGTGATAACAGTAAACATATACTATTACCATGTGATAAGGAAAAAAAAGATCAAAGCTCAGCAAAAGGTTTCTAATTTAAAAATGTATTTTTCTTTGTGTTAGAATTAACATGTTCAAGAAAGGGTTTAGAGCAGGCCATTTCAAATCCTGGTTTTCTTTGGTACTATATCAAGCCTTTTGTTGGCACTACGTTTTATATTTTGGTGTTCACATCAAATCAATAGAATTCAGCTTTTTCTGGTAGGCTGTAGTACTAGAATATTTTTTAAATCATCACCTGCTTTGCACCTGGAGAGTCAGCAGGGGAACTGAAAGACCTCGGCTGCCTTTGATATTAAATTGTCTACCTTCAGTTTAAATCACTGAACTGTGTTAAAAATAAGGTGTCTTCCATAGCAACTCAAATTGTAAACAACTCACTTTTATGCAGCGCTACTCATAACATCCCAGTATCCCACAGTTACACAACAGTTTTTTTTGTTGTATTAAAACCTAATGATGGGATCCTTCCTGTGCTAGAGAGGAAAAAGCTCAGGGCAAAAAAGCTCAAAGCAGATGCGAGTGTTGATGTATACGATATCTGAAACTTAACCATAAGCTTTTTTCCTAAAATTCTTTTTCTTAGGTAGGACATCAAATTACAGATGGGTGCCGATGTGGAGAGAATTGAAGGAACAGCAGGAAGATATTTTTAATGGAGTAAAATGGGATCCCAGAAACATACAGTAGCATTGCTAGTTCAGGGGACATTATATTATTGTGGAGGTGATATTTCTATCTAATGTTTCCTCTTACTCACCCTAATACATCCATGTTTGGTGATCTTTATTTGCCTCTCAGTTTATACAGATACTGTTAAAAGCCCTTGCAATTCCCTTTGTGGGTATGTTCTTTTGCATGAAAAACTTGAAGATGGACACATATTTCATAAACCAATTTATCCATATTTATTTTTTCATGGACTTTATCATCACTTTCCCCTTTACTTGTTTTTGACAAGATACTGTTTGTTCCAGAGCTTTGATTCACATAAATAGTATGTGGGAGTTGTGGAAATTCTACTTCGGTTACAATCTACCCAGTAATTTCATGTCTTGTGCACAGGCTACATTTCTCTCTGTATCTCACTAATGTGTAGGTTTAAAGCTCTTTAGTCAAATCTGCAGATTGGAAAAGCACCACAGCAAACACACAGTAGACCATACATTTCATTTACCTAGGATGGCAAAAGTAAAGAGGATACAATATAGACACAAACATTTTTTCTGCATGTGTTATTAGTGCATACTGTATGTATCCCTGCTTTATCCCATCCATCCTTTATCAGAAAGCTGCTTATTTTTGGTAAGCATCATGACAACCTGGAGCCCTGCCCAGAATCACAAGGCACAAGGCAGGACTACACCCAAGACTGGATGTCTATCCAACACAGGGCATCCAAACATATACACGTACAGTGATAATTGTATAACAGGAAAACCTGAGGACCCCGAGAAACTCCACATGATAATAGGACAAACATGGAAACTTCACACAGAAGGCACCACATTCTGCAACTGAATCCAAGACTAAAGAACTCTAAGACAAAAGCACTTACTGCCATGCCATGGTGCACCCCTTCTCTTACTGCAGTAAATTAGAAAGCAAATATTTCTCAAATATATGAAGCCAGCAGCCATATCACTCGCAACTCACAACTGGCAATCCACTGAAGCTAAGCAGGTGTGGGCCTGGTCAGTACCTGGATGGGAGACCTCCTGGGAAAAACTAAGGTTGCTGCTGGAAGAAGTGTTAGAGGGGCCAGCAGGGGGTGCTCACCCTGTGGTCTATGTGGGTCCTAATGCCCCAGTATACTGACGGGGACACTATACTGTAAACAGGCACCGTCCTTCGGATGAGACGTAAAACCGAGGTCCTGACTCTCTGTGGTCATTAAAAATCCCAGGGCGTTTCTCGAAAAGAGTTGAGGTGTAACCCCAGCGTCCTGGCCAAATTTCCCATTGGCTCTTATTAATCATGGCCTCTTAATAATCCTAATCCCCATGAATTGGCTTAATTACTCTGCTCTTCTCCCCACTGATAGCTGATGTGTGGTGAGCGTTCTGGCGCACTATTGCTGCCGTCGCATCATCCAGGTGGATGCTGCACATTGGTGGTGGTGGAGGGGAGTCTCCATTACCTGTAAAGCACTTTGAGTGGAGTGTCCAGAAAAGTGCTATATAAGTGTAAACAATTATTATAATTATTATGAAATGACATTAATATACATAATATGTCTATATGTTTTACATTTTTGATATTCTGCATTTCAAAATATTGTATTTATCTACAGTATGTCATGTTTTTTTCAGTTACATAAAGATCTACTCCCTTTTCTAATCTATGTCCTTAGTGGAACCAGCCCAGTCTTTCTGCGTTACAGGTGAATTATTATACTTTTTAATCAAGTCTGTATAAGATTTATTTAAAAACAGAAATTCAAAACCCAAGTGCAGGTTAATACTAGGCAGGTTTGTTTGTTCTATATTTTATACAGCACCTAGAGCAGAGACATATACAGTACAGTACCTTATATGCACTGGTTACACTCTACATATCAAATTACACCTTCCATAAATATTTAACCATTCAACATCCTCAGCTTTGTTCATGTGATACAGTGTCTCCCCTTCAGATCTGAGGATGGGCAAGGAGGCATTGTGGAATCAAGAGCAAGGTCACGGTCCAGGGAAAGTGGCCGGCGCTCTCCAGAATGGACTCTGCTTCGCTGTCAGGGTGTCAGGGTTCGCTGTCTGCAGCAGGCATGCCAGGAACTGGGCTGAGCTTGGCATGCTTCCTGGGCGGTCTTCTCTGGAGACCAGGCTGAACTGTACATGTGCTGTCGGGGCGATATGTAGTGGGCGTGCTAGAGACCGGGCTGAGCTATGTATCCACTGTCAGGGCTGTCTACTCCTTAGGCCAGTCTGGGCCAAATACACACTGTCAAGTAGGACCCGCAGAGGACATGTCAGGAACAGGACCGAATCGCGCGCCCACTGAGAACTGGAACTAGTGCAGAGTACCAGGGGCAGATCAGGACATGGGGCAGGCAGAGAGGCTAGCAGGTTGAGAGAGAGTCCAATGAATGGTTAACATGACTGGATTGGTGGAGGCAAGCACAGTACAAAACAGGGTCCCCAAGCAGAGTATGGGCAAATCAGAATGTAGGCAAACTATGGGGAAAATCCAGGCAGGTATTGAAACAGGAACAGATGGGTTGCTGGATTAATTCAGGGAGGAGTCAGCTCGGAAATGATGTCTGGTTGTCCGTAAATGACACAATGCCGGATTACCAAGGAGAAACTAAACAGACTTAAATAACCTGGTTCTGATTGCAGCCATGTGCTCCACATATCCTCTTGTCTCCTTGGTAACTGGTGCTCAGCAGGCACAAAGGAGAAGGTGTGGCCCATGGCGACATGCCCCACAGCTTTATAGCAGGATGATGTAACAGTTTATCACACTATAGAATTTTATATTGAATACAAAGAGAAAACAACCTAAGCGATCAGAACAGATCATTGCTGTTAAGGATTCGGCCAGTGAAACCGAAACCAAGTAATGAACCCACTTGCAGGAGCCGATAGAGACAAGCCGTGATCCAAATACCGTAGTTGAAGGAGAGAGCCGAGAGTCCAGGGGAAACCAGTGATCCAAACAGGGAGAGAGTAGCCAAAGCCAGACCGTAATCCAAAACCGTAGACGAAGGAGAGAGACGATAGTCCAGGGGAAGCCAGAGATCCAAACTGAGAGAGAGCAACTGAAGTCAAGCCATAATCCAAAAAACGTAGTAAAAGGGGAGAAACCAAAGTCTGAACCAGAACTGAACGAAGAGGTAGAAGGCGTAGCGCAACTAAGTAGCTCGAAAGGAAAACCAATACTGAGCGAAGAGGTAGGTGTCAGGAACAGTTTTTTTCCGGGCCCTATGTGGGCGACACGATCCAAAAGGTGAAGAAACAATATGGAAAAATATCATGCAGGAGTCGGTCAGGAGACAGGGGGGCGTGTCCATGCAGTGCTAGTGTCCGGGGGGGAGTGAATCCAGGGCGAACAATCCAAGGGTAAATCCAGAGGGGGAATCCAAGACGGGAGGTTTAGTCCAAGACCTGGGGATCCATCCGTAGTTAAAATCAGAACCGGGTCGGGACCGGCGGGGCAGGGAATCAGGAACAGGAAACTAAAACCATAACGGAGCCAGACGCGGCAAGACCCCCGGGCTCTCACGACACGGAAATCAATGAGAAGCCCCGAGCAATCGCCTGCGTCTGGTTTTAAAGGTGGAACTAAAGAGGGGCTGGAATAAGGAACAGGTGTGGGGAATGGGACAGAACGAGGAAGGGCTGGAGCGCCCTTAAGAGGAGGAGTAACGATCGTGACAGTAGGGAAAGACTAATGCTTAAATACCAGATGAGACGGAGGTGTGGTGGTGAAAGTGTACACTGATAGGTAGACTAATGAACTAAGACTATGCCTTCTTCTGCCTCTTTCGTTGCCGGGAGGCAGGGATCGTAACAATTGTTATATACATAGCAATGATCTGAATAATTTGTATCACTTTTCAGCAGAAGGAAATCTTTGAGAAACAGAAACAAAATGGTCCTGTTTATTGTGACAGTAAATGAGGAGTCACTACATGACCATGGACATCTGACACTATTGATAAACACAAACACCTTTTCATGTGTTGATAACCTTTTCAAATTTCCTTACATGCTCATTTTTATTTCTTGTCTTCGAGTGCTATATTCGCGCAGCCAACACTTACACAGAAGCAGCAGTTGCCTGGTGTAGGTTTTTGGGGCACGACTGTAATTATCCTTTTTTGCCACAGGCTAAACTCAATTGCATTAACAAATGCCTTTCCAACTTCCTTTACTCTT